TTGATGATATTTCAATAATTATTAGATACAGTATTTAATAGACATAGAACTACAGTATTTTCGGATGAAGAATACCTCTTTGCGGTAATGATGAGGAAGAATCGAATGATGAACTCAATAATAGCAAGTATGATCCCTCTACTGAAATTTATCAGGATAAATTAAATTAGGGTGCAATTATCGTCCTCAACACAGTGCTTCTCAAAGTTTCAATATTCGCGACCCAATATTCAATCAATATTTTCATTGCCCCCCCCTCTTATACAATAACAATTTATTGAATTCAATAATGCTATACTTAGATGCTAAACTACGATACGACTTTAACTTCTTAAGTGCCACCGGCGTATATAAACGTCTCGCTCACCCAAAGTATTATTTTCCTCTGACGTATATATACGTCTTTCCAAAGTATGATTGTTCTGAGCATTGTTATCCATAAAATTATTCCGAAAGCTTTGGAATGCAAAAAAAGGTCCTTGACAATGTTTGCGATATATTTACTTATTGCAGATTATTTGCTTCCTTCTCCCCCCCCCAATACATCACATACGGTTGCCATTGGGAAGCGAATCACGTAACTCTTAAAAAAATACGATTTATTAATAAATTATAAACCTTACGAATTGTCAAGGTGAATGTTAATTTTTGTATTTAATTTTATACATGGCAATCCCATGGAGTTACTGGTAATTATTAAACTCGTTCTTAACTTTTAGTATTGTTAAATTAGTTATAAAATACATTGTGTAGTACGGATACATTTTTATCGGTATAATATATCTGTTTAAAAGTGTATTTAATTTTTTATGTCAGAATGTATTTTGTTCTTTTACTTTCAGTAAATTAATAATTTTTTAAATAATCTTTTGTTTTCGACTTTTCAATATGCTTGCGCCCCCCTTGTAGAGTTGTCCCGCCGCCAAGGGGGGTGCGCCCCACAGTTTGAGAAACGCTGCCTTAACAAAATGAACACATTATATTCAAAGGCTAGACAAACTAATCTCGTTAGCCTATGAGAATATTGTTTTGTGTCGTTGAACGTTGCGACAATAAATGCGCGAATTATTTTGTTGAGTAGTCAATTATTACGTATTATCGAAACAATGCCAACGTTTAAGGTAAATCGCCAAGTTGGCAAGCTTGATTTCGCATGTGTCGTAAGCACTGAATCGGCAACCATGGGCATCATTTCATATAATGTCGTTAATACTGTTGGAACATTATGTTAAAGCTGGACAAGAACAAATTTTGCGAAAAAAAGAGTAAATAAGTAGAACTACATAATGCATGTAAATTACATTTAAATAATTAGAACAATGAGTATGAACAGTTGTTTAATTTGCACAATAGGGTTCCCTCCCTCCCTCTAGTAATATTAAAATAAATATTATTATTATTATTAGATGTTATTAATATTATAAGATGACATTAATAGAATCATTGATCACATATTATCATCATCTTCTTATATCACATCAGCATTCAAATAGATATTTTATTAAATAGTGAATAATATCTTGGCTATGCCAGCTGGATGGCGTAGTTAGTTTTGGCGCTGGTGTTGTACCCCCAAGTTTGCGGGTTTATCCTCCCTGAAACTTGGATTCACCAGGGGATTTTCATGATGAAAAAAATCGACAGCGCCCATGCCATATGATTATGCTGTATGTTAAATATCCCTTGAGTGCCTGTTTGGCTCGGGGGCTCTTGACAAAATTATATTCCTAGCAGGGTTTCACATCATCAGAGTTCTTGTGCCTCGCTCTGGGAAGGAAACTAGGCGTCAAAATCCCTTGATAAGTATACCTACTCTTTGGTGCTACACTAAAAAGAGACCAAAGCTCTCGGGTAATATACAAGGTCTACAATATAAAAATACCAATTTGCAGCCCCATTAGAAAAAAAGGGATTTTTAAATCAAGGCAAAAAATAATAAACAACAAATGAACAAGTAAAAGTTATACTAAGTATAAAAAACGCAATGAAAGTCTTCAATGCCTATTCGATAGGGGATTTTATGTCAAAATGCTCTAAACTGTAAATGGTAATGTAAAATACTCGATGAAATTCATTGTGGGCAAAAGCCCGATTTCTATAAAAGTGTGCTAAATAAAAATTATGTGATGGACCTCTTTACAGATTGGGGCACGTAGTCCACACAAAGTACAAATTCAATGTACATATTTAACAGAGTAGACAACGATCATAACAAAAATGCGTGCATCATTTTTGCTAAGCCTCCAACGAATCAGACAAAATACAACCATTGAATGTAAGTCACCATTATTTTAATAAATATCGATCGAGTTTATATCTTTAAAATAACGCCTTCATTTAAAAAAAAATTAATCCCCCCCCCAGGTATATTGCTGACAATGCTGGTAGGATAAAATCCACATTTAATTTAACAATTTTTTTCACCTTAGATTCCATTGCATTTTTAAAAAGTACAGCCTTCTGAAGAAATAATTATGTATTGGGGGCTCTGATTCTAATGAAAGCGCTAAGGGGGTGCAATTAACCGTAGTTTAATCTGAAGTACCGCTTTTTTTTTCAATAATTTCATGACTGTACTGTAGAGTTTGCTCAAAAAAGCTTTAATTAGATGTAAATTACATATGTCACCGTAGATAGGCTTTTATTTCTAAAATACCGCACTATTTATAACACTTATTTTGCTTCCCAGATACTAAGTTTTGAGCTGATTGGATAAAATCCACATTTAATTTAACCAATGACAACAAAGATCACTTTACATTTTTGGCATAAGCAACAACAACAAAGTACCTCTATCTTATAACACTAATTTAATCTTGAAAATCAGATTCAAATGTAACCTCTGATTGGATGAAAGTTTCAGTAAATTAACCAATGTAACAATAGTCAATCCTTTCTTCTTAAAGTACCACCTTTTTTTTCAATAATTTAATAATTTTATTGCAGTAATTGCTCAACAAAGCTTTGGTGAGAGGCAGTTCATAATTATTTTATTCAATACCAAGTATTGGCTTTTATTTTTTTTAAAAATACCTCCTTCTTTACTTACATTTTATTGTGAAGATTCTGATGACACAGCTGATTGGATGTGAGCCATAACTAATTTAACCAATGTAATAATATTTATTTCTTTACATTAAAAATTCCGCACTCTTTAAGGGATTTAATGATTTTATTGCTGACATTTTAAATAAAACTTTAATTGGATGTAAATCCAACTATTTCATTCAATGTCATCTTAGATTTGTTTTATTAAAGTACCGCCTTCTTCACTCTGTTAAGTTTCATTGCTCCCATTCTAATGAAAGCGCTGATTGGACGGAAGTTTCGATAAATTTAACCAATGTTATTATTGATCGGCCTCTTGTTTTAAAGTACCGCCTTTTTCTAGACGATCTTGCAATTTTATTGTTCAGAAAAAAAAAATCAAAATTCACATTGGATATAAAGCACAATTATTTCAATAAATATTGTCAAAGATTGGCTTCTATTTTTTAACGTACCACCTTTTTTACAACATTAATTAAATTTTATTGGTCTGTTCTATAAAAAGCAGTGATTGCAGATACATGGTAGAATTAATTTAACCAATGTAACCTTAGTTCCACTTTCACTCTAAGTACCGGCTTCTTTCGAGAAGTTACTTATTTATGTTTTTCAGATTCTAATGAGTGCGACCAGTGGATGTTCGTCATAACTTTTTTTCCCAATGTTGCTCAACCAACAAGGAAGAGCGAGTACATCGAAAAGTCGAAAACAAAATATTAGTTAAAAAATATTAATTTACTGAAATGAATCAAAACAAAATAAATTCCGACATGATAAAAAATTAAATACGTATTTACACTAATATAATACACTTTTTAAATGTATCAGTATTGTACATAATGTGTACATCATAATTAATTTAACAGTACGAAATTGAGTTAAGTAGTTTTTAATTAAGTTTAGTACTTACCAGTGTCCCTATGGGCATGTCATAAAATTATATAAAAAATTTAAGACTTATCTTGATACTTTGTACGGTTTATATAACTAAAGTGGTATTGTAGCCTTACATCAAAGTATATTAATACTGGATTCAGTACATTGTTATTGTATGGAGGGGGTGTGATGAAAATTATAGTTGAAAATTAGGTCGCAAGTATAGAAAGTTTGAGAAAAGCACTGGTTTACATTTATAAGAGTATTATTTTATTTTTTACAATCTCTGAATATATATTGGTATGCTTTCGTTCGGAATTTAATATATTTTTATAAAATAATCTTCAAAATTAGACGGATTGATATGTTCACGCCTCCTACTTAGGGTTATCACTTGCCCTATATTTTGAGAATAGCTGATCTAACGAAGGTCATATAATCTTACTCAATCCTGTATCAATGGACTCAAAGAACTGTATCCGCAAAGGTGAAAAAAATGGTTAGATAAAGCTATAGTTGAATGTATTTTATTGTGTAGCCATTATCATGCATTAACAGGTTTGTTTTTAGAACATATATCCTCTTTTGTGCAGCATGCCGAATAAATTATGTGCCCTTGCTAGCTGAGGGGTTATGGTTCTGAACTCCTGGCCGGTATTGTCCAATCGAATGCAACTGGTGACCCCCGTGTGGAGTACTTGATGCACGTTAAATCTGTTGATGCTTAAAGGATTGGTAAGAAGTTTGAAGAGTGGCTGTCAGCGCAGGTGTCTTACAATATGAAAAGTGTTTTTGTCATTTCTCTAGTATTTTTTTAAAATTTCTATTATTAGCTCACACACACTCTGTCTAATTACATTTGTTTATATATTTTGTTTAAATTTTCAATCCTTAATAAAATACTTTCTATTCATCCATTCAAGTTCAAATACTTTTTTTAAAACTTGTAGTGCACTGGATGTTAATACAGTTTTTTCAAATACTAATTCATTAACTAAATTAAAAAAATAATATCTAGTAACAAACAAATTAATAGTCCAACAGCATATATATAAAGGAAAATCGTTCGTAGAACAATCCCTGTAGGACAATAGGCAGCGCATTGGACTTCCAATCCAAATGTCGTGGATTCGAATCACACCTGGGATTGCCTTATTTCTTGGATTATGATTTTTCTTTATGATACTATATTATTAGAATAATTAAATTTAATGAATGAATAAAAGTAACAAAAAAAAATCGTTCAACACCCTACAAAGAAAGGAAAATGGAAAATTGCAAAGAAAATCGCTTTCTATTTTGTCAATTAATATTGTGATCCTGTCATGTTTATACATGTTTATATATTAATGTAACTATTTAATAAAAAGTAACTGAAATAAATGTTTATTTGTGTTACTTAAATTTTTATTTAATGTACCTAAAAACGCATGCTAAAGAACCAATTTAATTACTCAAAGGACGTTTATTTAAATTGAATTGAAATGAGGTACTCTTTAAGGAGATATGGTACCATCTTCACAATTTTATTTATTTTTAATATTTGATACTTAGTTTTAATTGTATTTTATAAAGGTATAATTTTTTAGATAAAGTATTAAACATGTTAGAGATAATTCCATGCACGGTTTTACAACACATACATTTCAAAACATGTATGGAAAATTCCAAATCCATATTTCAATTATCAAAAAAGCTTTAGGGTTTTAAATAATAATATATGTACAAATATTCAACATGGAGAAAAATGAGTTTGAAGTTTTCATTCCATGAATGGCGTGATAAAATATTCATCGAGAATAGTCTGAAACTTTTATGAAATGTTAATTAACTTATAAAAAATTGCTTATAATAAGAAATTGTAAAAATATAGAACAATTAAACAATATGTTGGCATAATGAATATATAGCAGAAAACGAATAAAAGATCAATATTTCATAAAACTTTATCTTAATAATTATAAAAAAAAATAAATACACACACTTCAGAGCTAATTCCATGTTCAGTTTGACAACTCAAATAATGCACAACATGTACAAAAGATGTTTATATCTTTATTTTTTATTTCCATGATTTTAAAAGCCTTTGCATGTTAAATATTTTACACGAATGAAAGCAAAATTAATAACAATTTATACGTAAAATATGTCAAAATATAAAAACTGCCTCTGTGCATTTGTTTAAATAAATATTTTAAAATATTTTAATAATAATTGTGTTGAATTTCACATATTGGGATATATACACATAAAAAAGAAATATATAAAATGGAAGAGTTTTTCTATTCTTGCGAATTAGATTTTTAATTATCTGAGCTATCAAAAAATGAGATTTAGTATTTGTGCTCTGCGAGAATCCGTTTTGAAGTTTTACTTTCATTCATAATAATATAAAAAGCGCGCACAACTTTTAAATCTTGACCAAATCCATTTGCTATTCAATAAACAATAGACAAACTAGAATTTTTATGAATTGCACAGTTCTTTCTTGAAATGACTTGTTACTGCATATATAATTCTACATATGTCAATCTCATTCATGAGCGGTAGAATAATAATTAACTTACTTTCTATCAGGCTCTTTTCTAGCAAATGATCCGAAATGTGGATGTGGTAGTTGCTGTCCAGCATCAAATATTGCTACATAACTTGATAAAAAATTCAGGTAAAGCTTTGAAATTTTGCAGGCATGTTTACGAAGATTCGAGATATCAAATAAGTCAATAAAAATATTTCGGTAGTTTGATGATTTTTTGGGTACCATATCTCCTTATATATCGAATCATCTTTTGTATATTATTATCATTTTAGATTATCCATGTCTTCAGCAATTTGAAGTAAAATGAGTGACATATTATATCTCTCTTGATGCATATTTTTTTCGTATCAATTGTATTTTCTCTCAACTAATCTCTTTTGATGGTTCATACTTTTTAAGCTGATATGATACGAATTTGATGTTGAAGCGCGCGTGAGCTATATTCTAGTATTCCACAAACTCATTTACAAATGACATTAACTACATAATCTTTAATCAACGAATTGTTTATTACTCTAACACTACCACAGCAAGATGCAGATCTTTCCACCGAAATTTGAATTATGGAATTGTTATTTTATCTGAATTTCATTTTACGAATCAATTACAGAAATAATTCTCGTGTAGGGGAAAAGTTTGCACCAGATTTGCCAGCTCAGGTTTCATCCTCTTGATAAGTCGAGGCCACGGTAGTATAGTAGGTATATGACATATTGGTCATCGACTCGTGACCAATATGTCATGAGTTCAAGCCTCAGTGTCACTGAAGACCTTCCATGTAGAGGGTCAGATACATGTTAAAGCTCGAAGTCCATCCATTTGTTTGGTGGGAAAGTTCGAAAATGATATACTAACTGATGTGCCGTCCTCCCCATGTCCGCATGGTCCTAAATGACGAGACCCGACACAAATATCAGTCAATTACTCAGTCAGACTTTACTCAGTCAATCAGTCGTCACTTGATCTTGGTTAAAATTTGGAAGGACTATCTTATTTTAGAAATAGTTATCATTAACATAGTAATACCAAACGATTTTTAAATAGAAAATACTATAAAGTTTTAACTACCGAAGGATTTTTTTAAAAAAATAATAAATTTATCCATACCAAAAGGTGTACTTAAACACCTACTTTAATTTGAAAGTTATCCGCTGATTAGTTTTCACACGAAAAATTCAATAACCCTTTTAAGTTGCTACTAACTTTAGAATAGTATCCAAGAACAATTCAAATCAAACTGCACTAGATATATTCAAATCAATATTACCTCGAGATCTGGCCACATGAAATGGCCAAGACATGTTCGTGAAAATCTATCTCCCGGCATGATTCATGATGCACTGAATGAATTGAAATCATTCCTATTTAATTTGCATGCGTGATTTGATACTACGATAGATCATCTCTCTGGTTTGACTGGTCAAGAAATCATTAGAAGACCGACTCCCCCATGCTCCATTTAACTCCCTGGTCTTTATATGCTCTAAGCACGCACGCATACTGATGATTTTGTTCAAGGCTCGATTGTAAGCGTGGATGAGTTATACATGCGATGATGAATGTCTAACAGCATCATTTGCCGAAGTGAGAATATTTGGCTTGAAACAGCTTACACAGTTTGGTTTCTCTGTCATCATTCACTGATATTGAAATGATTGAAAGTTGGAGTTTCAGCGAAGAAAGATTTAAAACTCCTCCAAATAAAAATTTTCATTTGTTCAACATTTTGCCAATTTCAAAACTATATTAATTTATTGAGTTAGACCAGTGTTTCACAACCTTTCCAATTCCTACTATTAATCTATTAATTCACACCCTCCTTATATATATATATATATTTTGTTCGAATTTTCAATCGTTATTAAAATACTTTTTATTCATCCACTCAAATTCAAATAAATATTTTTATACTTGTAATGGAGGCACTTGATGTTAATACAGTTTTTTAAATAATAACTCATTAATTAAAAAATGAATAAATAGTAACAATAAAAAAAAAGTTCAACATCATACATGAAAAAGAAAAACACTCGTTGTGTCCCAGTAGCGCAATGGTTAGCGCGTTGCCTTCTAATCCAAAGGTCGTGGGTTCGAATCCCACTAGGGATAGTGTAATTTACTGGGAATGTGATTCTTTTGATTATAGTATTTTATTGGAATAATTAAGTTTAATTTATGAATAAATATATAACACAACAAACACCAAAAAATAATACTCTTAACATCATATATAGAATTGAAAATGGAAAATTGCAAGGAAAAAATCGCTTTCTCTTTTCCAACTTAATATTTTGATTCTGTACCATGATATTATATTAATTTTAATTAGTCAATAAAAATTAACTAAAATAAAATTTCTCTTTCTTGACCTAAATAAAAATCGGCATAAATTTTATATATATATGTAATAATTCCCACTAATATAATCCTTTTAAATAACTTTTAACTATCTTTGGTCCATCCCTTCAGGACCGAACTGCAATTAATAAATTAGCCAGCGCCTAACGAGAGTAATTTAAACTTCACCTATCACCCATTCAGATCATGTGATTTGAGAAGCCTATAAATATCGAGATTCCTGGAGACCAACTCCCTTTTCGCTTCTGTATTTTCTGCAACATGTAGCCGGCTACAGCTCATTGTGCATTCGTTTTCTTTGTTATGTGTTGTCCATTCCATGATTTATGTTTAACATGTTTATATGTGCTCAAGATGTGGAATAAATAGTTTTAATTAATCACCGGAATGCCTCGTCAATATCATCCAAAGAAACAATCAACAATAGCTATCATATTATTAAGAATACATTTCAACGGCCACGTCGATTACATATATATATATATATATTACTTATTTTTTAGTATGCGCCTCTAAGCCTGTTAAAAGTTATTTTGTCTTCACCCCCATTCATATATACGTATATATATGTATGTGTGTGTTTGTGTGTGTAATAATCACAGTAACATAATCCACTTAAATATCGTTTAATTATCTGGTCCATCCCTCCATATGTTTAATTAATAAACTTGCTAGCCGCCCAACTAGAGTATTTTGAACTACATCTCTCCACCCACTCAGATCACGTGATTTGAGCTGCCTATAAATACTGAGAATTTTGAGACCGCCATCTTTCTCTTCTGTATTTGTATTGCGCATTTGCTTTCTTTTTTATGTATTGTGCCATCCATTCCTGCTTTATGTTTAACATGCTTATGTGTTGTAAGATGTGGAATAAAACAGATTTAAATAATCACAGGACTGCCTCGTCAATCTCATCCAAAGAAAACATCAACCATCATAAATAATGATCTAATTAAGGAATCCTTCACACTCGCCAAATTGTGAAACTCCAATCTATATATATAAAGGAGAAAAGTGACTCACTCACTGACTGACTGACTAATCACGAAATCTCTGGAACTATTCAACCTACAGACTTGAAATTTGGTAGACATGTTCCTTTGATAGAGTAGACATCAGCTAAGAAAGGATTTTCCGAAATTCGAAACGCAAGGGCGTTACGGGGGGTTCAGGGCTTTAATAATAATTGTTTCCATGTTTAAACTACTTAATGTACAATCTTGAAATTGGGTAAGCGGATTCCTTTCAG